TTTTTGAACTGAATGGTTGGGCAAATAAACTTTAAAAAAATTAGAAAAGTTAAGGTACAAAAGCTGAAACCGGTTTAAATCTGGTTGTTTCCGGTTGGACCAACTAAATTGTAGTCGGCAACAGAATTTCACTGGACTGAGGTCTGATAGAAACAGGTGTACAATGAATAAACTGCTAAAACCTTCTTTTTTTTTTTTTTTTTTTTTTAATTGTTGTGGTGTATATCAAATTGCTGTCTCAAATACTGTTTATTATACAAATTTTCGAATAAGAAGTAGTGATCACTGGAATAGAGCTGTAAAAAGGAAAATAGAAAGTTGTTATTAAACAGCAATTCAGTTTATGTTTGTTCGTTTATCCAAGATGATTCGTTTTTTCTTTCCAGAAAGAAGGAGAGGGGAAGAGAGATAGAGAGGAAGGAAAGCTTTCTGAACGGTTTTTTTAAAAACCAGTAATTTAATGTTGTCTACTGATTGTTGCTGTGCCGAGATTGTTTAGGTTGATAATCTATAAGGAAAAAAAATCAGTGATTTGTTGACAAAAATTTATCAGGAGTTCTTTTTAATACTGTTTAAGAAACAAAAAAAAAAAATTTATATTTTATTTTTCCCAATGTTGTCGAAAAATAATTTGATGTGTAAAAATTTAAAACGATATAACAAGTGAACTTATTTGCTGAGAAGTTTTTTGTAAGTATGTTTGTGGCAACTTTTCCTTCTCTTTCCGCTTTTTGAAAAGATATAGGAAATGAATGAACAAATAAGCTGTTTGTTGATTACAATGACAAAAACTGAGAAAAAAAAGAGAAATTATTGCTTTTTTTTCTTGAATTGGTTCTCTTTTTTCCCCGTAAACGTTTTTCTCTGTATTTATTTTGCTGAGGAGTCGTGTCCGACGAATGGTTATTTAATGGCAGAAAAGAAGCCACTACATTATTGCTGTGGTTAGTTGTTGGTTAAACTTTGCAATCAAAGTATTAGTAATTGAAAAGAAAAAAAATAAAAACATTGAAAAACCTAAAGGAAATGTTTTCAGAAAATTTTTTTGAAAGTCGACAAGACAGATGGAAGGACAAAAAATGACGGTGTTGAAGAAAAAAATGACTTTTTTTGACGTAGCTTATATGCTCAGCATAATGTATACCAAACTAACAAACAAATAGACAAAGCAAAAAAAAAAAGTCAAAAAAAAAGAGAAAAACAAATTTTTGTTGTTTAATTAACTTTATTTTTGGTTGGACTTTATGCCGTGATATGTCAAACATTCAAAGCTTTGTTACTGTTTACTTGATCTATTAGATAGTCCTTTCTTTTGAAATCTGAATTGATTTTTTATCTTATAATTGTATAGCGCTTTTTTTCTATTTTGTTTTATTCTGTTTGATTTGCTTCAAATTTTCATTTTACAGTTTTTTGCACGTAGCATTAATTAAAAGGACTTTAACGAATTTATACGAAAACAGATAGGCATAATTGAGAAGAAGCGGACAGTGTTCTACGGGGTGGTCAATTAATTGACTGTGTAGATGATCGTTATCTGTTACGATAACCACTGCCTTCCGCGCAGCTCCTCTTCGCCTCCAGATTTACTGCTATTCTACTGAACACAGTCCTACACTTTTTTTGGCTTTTATTTTTGACAATTGCCAGTACAGCAGTGAAGTTTAAAGTGACATTGAGCAAGCGGATAAATGGTCAGAAAGTGAACAGCAAGCCGAAAAGACAGGGTTTTGAAAAGATAAGTAAAATTTTACTGTTAAACAAAATGAAATGCGCAAAACTGGCGAGAATACCGCTGCGAAAGGCACCGAGACGATATCGAACGGAGAAGGGGAAGAAAGGGGAGAGAGTAAATTTTAGTGGACATTATGGGACATTAGTTGGGTTAGATGGACAAATGCAGAGGTGGTAATGGGATGACGGGATAGGGGAGAG